TGCGTCATCAAACATATTCTTGTAAATTCTTGTAAATTGCGATATCGATAATGCGCAAGTTATAGTCCAATATAGTCCAATCGCCCAATTTTATTGATTGATGAGGTATTCAAAACATGGAAAAGTAAAAGCGTAAATACTTTTTAGCCAGTTTGACTTGACTGCGTTAGACTGATACCATGATGCGCTAATACATGGTATTTTTTAACAATATTTAATATTAATAACTTCATTATGCTCTATAAATATAGTTCATGTCACAATAGACATTACTTTGTCAGAGCATGCAGAAATACTGAGAGTACATACAGCTTGATTTAAAAAAAATGATCATATCAATGATTTGTGACACTACAGAATTTCGTGTCAGAGCCGAGCAGTGATTTTGATGAGCGAACCACGCCAGGGCCGGAATATAGCACCAGAAGAGCAAATAAGAGAGCCGATGTATTTCATAAATTGTAATTCGCGCCGGACAATAACTAATTTGGAGTTAGGGCCGCTAGGGCGCGTGACGTCAGAGAGCGAGAACGAGCTGCGTCGGTGTGGCATTCACGTGTTGACCACGAGCGAGAGAGTACGAGAGTTACGAGTGAGTTTCTGTGCCGAGTGAGTAGAGGCACGAGTGAGTCTTTGTGCCGAGTGAGTAGAGGCACGAGTGAGTCTTTGTGTCGAGTGAGTAGAGGCCCGAGTTAATTTAAGTGAGAGAGAGAGAGAGAGAGAGAGAGAGAGTGCGAGCAGTGTTGAAAAGTGTTAGACGTGTCCGGTGTGAGAGAGCAGTTGGTGTTTTTGAGAAGCATTGAGAGCGACTCAATAGTTATCGCGTAAATTGATTGTAGTCACGAAGAGCTGGTTCGCGATACCTTGGACTGTGGTCTTTGGCCGCCGAGAATACGATTTGCCTGTGCCCATATTGCCTGAGTCTACTTAATTAAGAATCATCGCCAAGGAGACAGAACGTCGGATCGTCGATAAAGAAATAGCGCCAGAGTCGTGTACGAGAGTGTGTGTGCCTAGTCGTGATCGCGCCAGATAATTACGCCAGTTCTTTTGATAAATAAAAATGATTTCTCGTAAATAATAAATAAGTGTTTGTGTTTTATTTTATTTCGCCTTTCTTTCCCGTTCCCTCGAACATCGCGTTTCTAGCCCTATTCGAGCTCGCGACCTTTACAGTGCGGCGGTGGCCGGGCATCGCAAAGTCACCGTGTCGCAATTGGCATCACCCTTGTGGGGAATGTGAAAAGAAAGGCAAATGATTATAATTAGCATCAGTGTGAATGATGAGTGAATGAAATAAGTTGCAAACAAAAGAAGGTTCTCGAACGATCGAACCAGCCAGAACGCTTGTCGCTGTTTTCGCGCGCGCGAGCCTGTCGGTCAATTTCGTGGAAGCACGAGAAGGCGCACGAGCCTGTAGAGAAGAAGAAGAGCCATCACAGTCGTGCCAGCATACACTCATAAAGTTGTGTATCGACGACGGTTACAAGTAACGCGCGCTTCACGCACAGGTCGACTTCGACAAGAAGACCGAGTGTAACAACGATGAGTCGCATGTCGGTATATTCGCCATTACATTGGCCAGGAACTCATAGCTTGCACTGCAGGCCGCACGTACTGATTAACCAAGAAGTTACCACAGTCGTGCATAGCAATCAGTACAAATACGTATCGGCCACGCCACAACACCTTACATGTAGCGCTGAGACGTACGAAAAGCAAAGCGCCGAGGTACTCGATCAACATAGCGCCGCGATGTATGATCGAGTACGAGCAGCAGAAGGGCTGCCGAGTTCCAAGCGAGAGATGCACGAATTCTACGCTGAATATAATAGTAACGCCACGAAAAAGGACCGTGCTCTTTATGCGCCAGAACAACAGGTCACATGGATTTCAAACAACGGTGAGAAGTTGCCAGTGAATGTGTTACGCGGGAACGTCAAATTTTGATAAAGTTCGTTTGCCTTCGAACGGTAGCCCTGAGAAGGCTAAGAACCGAAAGGAGTTTTAAGAGTTTACACTCTTGTTACTGCCAAGACGGTTTGAATTGAACTTTTACAAAGTTCGTCAGCTTTCGAGCAGTAGCCCTGAGAAGGCTAGTAACCGAAAAGAGTTTAGGAGTTTACACTCTACCACTGCTAAGACGGTTTGAATTGAACTTTTACAAAAGTTCGTTAGCTTTCGAAAGGTAGCCTTGAGAAGGCGAGTAACCGAAAAGAGTTTAGGAGTTTACACTCTGCCACTGCTAAGACGGTTTGAATTGAACTTTTACAAAAAGTTCGTCAGCTTTCAAACGATAGCCTTGAAAAGGCTGGAAACCGAAAAGAATTTCAGAGTTCGCACTCTGCAATTGACAAGTCGGTTAGCCTCGATCTTTAGCAAAAGTTCGAGGTCTTTCGAAATCCTACGTGAGATGGTCCTGAAAAGGACCGAGGCCGAGTTGGCGTGTACAAGTTCCAAATTGTTTCGTTGGTGATTGATGTGGATCAAGTGGTAGCCGAGATCCGATGTTGTTCCGTAGTCAACTCTGCAACAGAAGGTTGGAAACCCCGTTGAGCTCGTAAACTTGGCTGCGGTGACTCTGCGATGAATTTGTCTTGGCCTTGCTGGTCAGTTGCGGCCGGAAAGTCCAGGCCGCACTCGCTGAATGGGAAAGATCGAGGCTCGAAGTGGCCCATACTTAAGCCCTGGCGGGGATAAGTAGCTTGTGGGTGCCGGCGCTGCGCCACCTAGCGGTCGCTAGTGAAGCTTCTCAGCGCAAGAAGTGGAAAGGAGGCTTGGAGAGGAGCGAGAAATAATAAGATTGAGTATATGTGTATAACTCAGGTTTATTAACGTTCCCTAGGCCAAGCTCTCGTGGCGAGCAAGATCCGACTCCGGAAAGTCCAGGAGTGGAACTGCGTGCCGAATCGAATCGGCGCTGTCTTTTATACCGCTGGCCGGTCGGCGCGCGAGCCGGCAGCGGCCAAGTGGCGGAGTGGGGATACGCACGCAGGAGTCTCGTGTCGTTGGCGTATATCAAATGCTATATTGGAGAATTACAAAAGCGACGAAGAGCAGTGGGAGACGCCGCTGTTCGTACACGGGCGATCCTCACCATCAACGCCTAGCAGAAGAGTGTTTGTTAACGACGGGTTAGTACACGAAGGTCAAGACGGTGAACCAACAGACACGATATGCACTTTCCACTTTACGTCGATGTTTTCCTTGCCAGACAAAAGAACCAATGCACCAGCTAGAACGACAGAATACTCTGTAAATTATAATGACACGGCTCCAGCCACGCCTACAAGAATCCGCCGATCAAACCTGCATGGTCTACACCGCTCTGAGGAAAGTGACTTTAGGAAAAGAGTTAGCAATTATCGTGTCTACGCTGCAGCCAAAATACCGAGACTGGAAACGTTCATCGTTAAAACAATCAAACATCATATAAAAAATGCTATGCAAGTCTCCTCAAACATCTTGATATCAGATCCTTTCTTTCCGAACGATGAATACCACATACGAGCTTGCGAATCAGGCTTCACACCGCCTGAAACCTTCAAATTCCTCGATGAAAACTCACTTATAATATCAGCCAACATGGAACATACATTCTACAACATAATAAGGCACAGCCGGAACAAGAGAATCAGCGGAGAGCCACATCGGATGGCGAAAGACCCAGGCTTACTACCGGCGGACATAGCTGCACTGAGAAAATTTAGCTACTACAAAGAGAAGAGCACGGTGCCATGACAATCTCTCGCCCGCCTGGACAACCACACTCCTGCTCTTTCTAATCTCCTTTTCTTTTTTTTTTTTTTTTTTGTAACACATAAGCCTTGCAGTTTTTTCACACACTGTGTTTTTCCTGCGTTGGCATACTTTGTATAAATTACCAGTTAATCTGGACCATATTTATTTCCCAATCCTAGTTTATATTAGTACAGCGAAGTATCATTGATACATTCTGTATATGCTGCGACACTCAAGTGCATTTTTTTGTATGGTTTTTTTTTCTTTCACTCCTGCACATTGTATATAATAATCTATTAAATCAATAAAAAACCATTTATAAATTAAAAAAACACAGGTGTTGTACAGCATTGACGTCAATAGCCGATGGTAGTAGTCGCAGCTGGATTGACCCTTCGCTCACATGGGCCGCACGGTTCGCGAAGTCGCAATGACGAAAAGAGAACGTGAGTCTACACGGAAAAACTTTTGACCATGTTTTACGCTCGAACACATAGAGATACATTCGTGCTCTGAGTCGAGTACAATTCATGCTCAGTCTCGAGGCTGAATCGCGCTCAGTGGTGGTCACAAAACAAGTTCAGTAAAACTTGCGTGAGATTCGTTTTCAGAATTCGAGCGTGAAACATGGTCAAAAGTTTTTCCGTGTAATTTATAAACGAAACTAATGCCAGAAATACTCCTCGCAATTTTACCGATTCGTTCTCGATCGAACCGCGTCGATTATATACCCGCTCAAGTCGTGCGAATCTCGCGTCATGCACTTACAGCGTTCAATCGTATCTTGATCTCGCGACACGGTCGAATTTCGGAGCAACGCTCCCGATGCTAACTCTCTCACGGTCACCGAGTATCTCTCCCTATTTCGCGCTCCAGACACTCGCAAGACGATCCAATGGGTCACGTAACCAATTTGTAGGCCCTTGTTCCATAAGGGAGAAAGAGATAGGCCATTTCGCGTGCTTTGACACGCGGATTCTCTCTAGTATACACACAAGTACACACACGCGCGTCGTTGCGGCTGCTGCGTTAGGTACAAGAGTGGCTTGTATCCTGTCACAGTCGGACTTAATGCCGAAGAGGGGAGAGACATGTGACAACGTAACTTGACTGTCACAAATGATCTTGCTAACCGTGAGAAATACCCAAGTAAAAAATAAAATAAAAATTTTAGTATGTCCCCAGAAATAAAAAACAAAATGTTAAAATTACAAATTGTATAGTTGATTGGTAGTAATTAAAATCATATTTATTTTCAGATAAATGATATTTCGTCATTAAAAAATGAAGTTAAACAGCTTCAAGTTGCAGTTAGCCACATAGAACCTTTCATCAAAACCTTTACTCCAACTATGGATATGAGTACATCCAATACTTTCACAGACAATGAAAGTAATTTGCATTTACAAATATTACTAGATCATTTGATCAATTTACAATTTCAAAACAGCTCATTGATTCCTAAGTCTTCTAAAGATAAAGATGATACGAATGGTAAAAATTTAATTATCAAATAAAATAAAAAATTCAATAATAGTTAAGATTCCTAAGACAAAAAATAATTTTTTTTAAAATAAATTATGAGTATTATGTCCGAGGTTCAGCTATATAAAACTATTTCACTGTTGCATCGATGAAATTAAAAAACAAGTTTTAAAAAGATCTGAATTAAGTAATGAATGCTGGGTACGAAAGAAATTATACCAAATGGTGGGTAATAGGATAACATTTTTTGAATAAAACTTCCAATCAGCAACGTATCCTATTTATCACTTGTATTGTAGCCCTGCAAAGCGCGTCGGCGTACATAATTTACAAACACAACAAGCAAGGGCTAGGCCGCCCGACTCACCACTCACTTTCCTGAGTTGAATATGCCATCGATTATCCTGATGGTCCGCTTCGCCGTTGAATCAACTTCTTTTCTCTAGCGCACTCGAATTGACTCGTACTGGTACTCGCACTCTACACTCAAGTGACATTGGGCCTTATTACCCACGCAGTACTCGTCAGTCCAACTTACGTATCCAATTAATGTATACGCTTCTTTACGTTCTTACACTTTTCACTCACATGAAATCGGATTGAAAATACGATAGTCAATTGTTATTCTTATAATTGATTGCTGTGAAAATATCACAATTTTTTACTTTACGATCTGAAATTATATTCTTTGTTTTTCCCACTGCAATCAATGCAGCTATGACCATCGCCACTCCGACTACAATGTCGCGCGCCGATGCCTTGGCCGCCACGGTCACTCCCCTCTCGGACTGAGCCAGAGCCGAATCGACATAGAGAACTTGGCCCAGGGATTTTTGTTCAATAAACATCTAATTATTGCCAACCCAGCCTTTTCACTTTTCTACCCTGCCTACCTACATGATACAGCAAGGATTCGTGAACAACCGAATCGTGGAGTACTTGTATAAGTAGCTTGGCATGTCTTTTCACTCTTGACTAGAGCTCTCCAGTTTCTTTTCCCGCTATCATCGTGGACGACCAAGGGCATCCCAGCCAGCGGGGGTGGCCGGCCTCAGGCAAGAAATCGAAGAGGTGGGATTCACTCGTCAAACTTTGCTCAATAGTTGCAGTCCCACTACAGCAGTCATATCGAGGCTAGGCCATAGCTCGAGTAATTGACCACCTGAGGGACTTGAAGGCCAAAGGAACCTTTCCACACGACGATCCAAAGTACGCCAGGGCAGAGAGGATTTTTGTCAAACAGCAGGCCACTCAGCGTCACAGGACCCGTTCTGTCGTGGTTACCACTGACGTCCTCCCTCCACTATGTGAAGTTGCGGAACCACGGCAGTTCGAGGAGTGCCTCGAGAATCGGCATGATCCACAAACCGACTAAGGCCAACTCTCCGTCGCTGCGCAGTCTGACCTGAGCCAATAACACCGATCCCATTGCACGTAAAAAACGTGACAAGCAGCGTTGCAAGGAGCTCTACAACAAGCAGAATACAGAGAGGAGGAATTAGGTGCCAAGTAGTAAACAATCGGCCCTTTTCGGGGCCACACTACAAAACATGAAAGGATTAAGCTGAAAAAGTAGAAAAAATTTTTTCAGAAAACAGGCATAAGAGCCTTTTTTATACCCCATTTGAAAGTACATCGATAAACCGCGTTATAGGGTAAACCGCGTTATAAGAACCCGCGTTATACGAGGGACTCCTGTACTTTGTCAAGTTAGATATTTAAAAATACTTAAATTAATTGGCATAAGTCTAAAAACCTTCAGCAATAAGTATTTGTTGTCTCTGAGCTGCCTGTCGTAGGTTTCCAAGTGTTAGCATGACACGATTGAGTTGTATGTGGTTTCATTTTGTTTGATGGACCATTAGCCATCAACGCAACCTGAAGCTAAGCATAAGATAAACTTTGACTACTTCCACATACAATTTAATAGAATATTTTGTTCATTAATGATCATTTTTGATAATTTTTAATAAAATATTCTATTAAATTGTATTTTGAAGTAGTCAACGTTGATCTTATACTTACCTTGAGGTTGCGTTAATTGCTAATGGACCATCAAACATAATGAAACCATCGGCATACCATGACCAGACCCGACCATGGGATGTCCAAGTATGTCCAATCTGAAGGAGGGCTTATCCGGAGTCTTGGGCTACTTGTGGGTTAGAACGGGAAAGGCACACGAAATAATAACTCGAACATATAACGAGTAATAATAAATATAACGATTTATTCACTCTCACTCGCACATTCACACTACAGTAATCAGTTGTGCAAGTCAGCTGACCTAAGACTCCAACTGTCTCGCAGGACAGCTGCGTCGGTGACTGCAATAACAATGACATACACTTTCACCAAGAAAGAACTATTCTTACATTGTTGCTGGTTCTTCTTTTCACTACAATAACTGACTAAGTCAGCGGGATGATAATTATTCCTGTGACGCGGCTCGACAAGGCGCGACACACGACGCAGTAGGCGCGAATATCACACTCACAATCACGCGAATACGCACACACGCAACTGACTAAGCTACTGATTAGTTAATAATATTATCCTAAATTGCTTAACGATGCTCTTCGTTCTTTGAGCTCTGGCCGAGCGAATCTAGCCTCGCCATCAGCCTCGACACTATGTCTCTCTCTCTCTCACTATTTCTGGCTGGGAGATCTTGGACGAGCGAGCACTTATCCTCTCTTGGCCACGCAGTGATGCAATCGGGCTTGGCTTGCCCTTGCAAATCAAGTGCAAACGCCGACTCTCTTATCGCGCGTGTGCACGTGGAACACACGGCACGTGAACTTATTATTTCTCTTGCACACTTCTCAAACTGCACTCGAAACTTTACTTTACTTTACGATGCTCTTGGCCACGAGTTAACCTCTTATCTCTTTCCGTTTGCACTATCACTCTTGTCGATACGAGGACTCACTCCTTACTGCCTGTTTCGCGTCGGCTCACCGGCGCTCGCGAGATGGCGGCAGGTGGTCTACTTTTGCACACCAACGCATTGTCGTGTCGCATCATGCTGCTGACTCGTGATTATATTCGTTGTCGATCTTGGTCTCGGCTCTGCTACTCAGCTGCCCTATTTCTTGACCTGAAAGTACCTACTCAATATGCATGATACTAGCTTGGCCGGTGTGCCAAGCTTACTATCGAAGAGAGGCATATTTGTCAATCATACTTTGAACATGAGACAAAGTCTCACGCACACTATCTATGCCTGATATGTACATACCAAAAATGTTCATTTCATCTCTGCCAAATAAACTTTTTCTATTATTTTGCTCCGTCACAACTAGATTGTGTAAAACTGTTTTGTTTTTATAGGTTATTTCAGCATTTATTTTTCCAATACTTTTCAGCGATGTATTGCCAAAATATTTAATCAACCTTTAGCTAGGGTTAAGCTCGATTTTATTTAAACATTTTTTGTACGCGTCATACGGAATAACAGATACTTCTGCGCCACTATCCAACTCCATGTGGAATCGAATAAGAACACCGACTGTTACGATTATTTCAAAAAGTTCATCGCGAGTTTCAGTATAATTCAAACTATAAACACTTAAGTTAGGTATGTATGAAGTCGGCTATCGACGAATAAAGAGCCAGAAAAAAAACTACACTAACTTTCACTGCAGCACGAAACTATAACTTTTTAGTTAACCTCGTTGCCAATTATGTGATATCCCGTATATCGATGCAATTAATAATACGAGATTAGTTTTAAGTATAATAGTTTATTAAGTATAAGATATAATAATAGTTAGAGTATAGGTGTGTTCAGGTAAGCGTGCACGACAAGTCTGAGCCTAGAGTGTGTGACGAGAATCCAGACAGGATCTCGTCTCTCTCCCCCAAAGCCAATATTCGAATATGTTGTACTCATTATGAGATTTGTTACAGGTGCAGAAGCGCGACCATGGCAGATCGCACGAGAGAGAGAGAAAGAGACATAAATTCACGTGCGCGGAAAAGACTGCGCGAACCTCGCGAGCGCATGGCGAAGATTTACGCGTGCGAACAGAGAAGCTACACGGTAGTACAGTCTGGGCCCGATTTCGAGCGACACTCGCAAGTCGAAATCGACGAATATTGTTAGCCCGCTGTAAATCGCGTCGCGAGTTTGAGTGATTGCAACGCGTGCATTTTTGAGTGCATTGTGAGCGAGTGTGTGAGCGGCCCGGAATCCATCGTCGTGGATTGGGCAGCGGGAATCGCAACCGGAGGCAGCTATTGTAAGTGCCAGCTTACCGACTTTCTCTCTCTCTCTCATTTGCATTGCGACTCGCATTCGCCGGTTTAGGCAAACACTCGCGCGCCGTGGTACTGCACCAAATTGCCGTTCTGAGCATGGCTGCAATTCCCTGATTCACTCACTTATCAATAATAATTATTTTTCCTTTAATTTAATTCTTTTGCGTCGATTGCTTTCCTATGCACTCTCCCCTCTTATTACTTTTTAGGTAACCGGACCCGGCCGCTAACGCGACCAACGCAGTACTTGTGATTTTATGCAGCAATACTAATTACCCCTTTCACTCGTAACTTCCCCCGTTACAAGTGGTACATGCAAGAGAGCTATCTGACTTAGTCACTAAATGTCGCTACAAAGTAGTCACTATATTACAATCATCAAGCTAATTTTTATTCGATAAACGATTGAACATTGTTTTTTCAGCAGTTCAAGCTATTTTGGATTCAGGAGGAAATATCGTCGTTTACGGGGGAAAAAATGAACCAAAAAAAAATACTTATAATGATAAACGATTAGTTGAAAATAAAAATCACGTAAAGAATGAAGATCTACCACATGACTTCACGCAAATTTCTCATAAGAATTTTGATGCAGCTAAAATTTCAAATATTACTACATCGGAAACTACTTTCTTTTATGACGATTCCAAAAAAAATATTCCTCATTTTTTATGTGAAAATCAAAATCGACAGAAGAAAAATCAAGACATTAGACGTAAGCAAAACATTTAATCTTTTATCAATTTTATTTAATGTAAAATTAAAAATACTTTGAAGGTTGAGTTTTTACTCTTCATCTCAGAAATAAGATAGTAGCAAAATGACAGATCCAAAAATGTGTTTTTTTCAAATTGCTTATTTATAATGTTACATGAAATTCTCATATTCAAAAAAATCAAATGATTTTGAATACGATACTTTCTTAAAGTCTCTAAAATAAAAACATAAATAGTAAAAAATGTATTATAATAAAATTGAAAACATGCGCGGCTTGTGCACACACACGTTCACGTGCTGTGCAAGCCTGCGAGTGATTCTCGCGCCTTGGTACGTGCTGACGACTGCTCTGCTATCTGCTCATTGTTTGCCTTCTCGCTCTCCCGTTTTTGCACTCGACGAATCTACACTAGACCGGGTCGTTTTTGCAAAAATTTTTTGTATCGCCTGGGCTCATGGTTGAGCTGAAAGTTCAAGGTTTTAGATGAAAAAAGCCGGGCTGCAGAAGTCAAAAAAGTGACCGGAACCGGTGTCGATAGGCTTTCGAAGTTTAAAAACGTGCTTCGGAAATTTAGCAAAATCGCTCTGAAAGAGGCAATCATATAATAGATTGCTAACATTGCTCAGAAGGTAAAATTTATGTCGACAAGACGTTTTCTTACGTATTTTTGTGTGTAGAAACGAATTCCGTAGTCAGTTTTGACCTAGGAGAACGATTTCATTGAAAAAATGCACTTTTTCGATATCTTTATTCTGCGTAAAAAACAAAAAATCGTCTTGTAAATTTTTAAAAATGAACAGAAAAAATTTAGAAAATTTTTTGACACTGCTTAAGTTTAGGATTTTTTATGACGAATCCAATGGTATCCAATTGTTCAATATGCACATCGCAAGGTGCATAGCCGAGGCGCTATTGTAGCACTACCTGGCGACTTCGGAGCACATCCCCTCTCCGCCGGAACTACAAGACGCTCCGGTTTCGGAGAGCAGTTAGCTGCGAGTGTCGGAGCGCGTTACACAGCCTGTTGTGTTGATCTCCCAACCTATTGTCTTTTTTACATACGATTCAAGTTACAAATTATAATAAAATTCTTTTCATTACAACTGCACATTTTTGACTATTTTATTGAAAATATCTACAGTCCACTTATCTCATAGTAAACACCAATGGTAGAAAAATACATCTTTATCCCAAAAAACGACATTACGAAAAATTGAAAAATCGAAAAGTGTATTAGTTTCTTCCAGGAAATGGCTAAGTAGAATCAACTATGGAAAAAATTGCATGAAACGGTCTGATAGGTTCTTTTCTCACCTTTCCAACGCCGGTTTCAGAAGTTAAAAATTAGCAAGATTCGCTGAGATACAGCTATTTTTGTACGATGCATTTTTAAGCGTATATTCTACTTCGCTGGTTATTAAGGGGACAAATACACCTTAAATTTTTCAAAAATCGATTTTTTTTTTATTGATGTATTCTCTAGCATTTTTCCTCCCCTTTCCAACGCCGTTCTCAGAATTTGAAATACTTAAAAGTTACGGAAGCTAAATCAAATTTAGTGATGCAGCGATCAACGATAAATTTAAAAAAAATGACTAAAAAATCACTAGCCCGATTTAAATCGTTACTAGTGATATTTAGAATGAAAATCGTTCAAATTTATTTTTCCATCGAAGAACGCCCTCTAGATAGTCGATTTCGTACTACAATGTTGCAATACTGTGTATCGGCCTTTGTAACCGCCTTTTTCAAACTGCGTTCTATTACAGTCGTTAGTCCTCCTACAAAACAAAGTATATGTTATTATAAAATAAAGTATAAGTTGATTGCTGTTATTGTGGTTAGTTTTTGATTGAAGTTTTTGTGTTTTTGATTGGTTTTTCATTACCTTTTGTTATGGAACCTGCTAAAAAAGGCTCAGGTGTCATCCTGATAGAAAAGGGTCAATTGGCCGAAAGAGAAATATCATTTTTAAACGTAATCAATTCAAACCCCCACCAGCGACAATCAAACTTGAAAATGCTAAGCTAAGATCTAAAACTGAAGAAGAAATTTATAAAAAGTCTGCTTCAAGAAAAAAAATTAAAAATTCATCTTTAGATGATATTGAGAAAAGCTCTGTTCAATATCGTTTAGTTGATTTTTCATTACTATTACCTTTTTTGGAGAACAATGTGTATTGTAAGTGTGGATATCAATTGAAATTTTCTGAATCAGAAACTCGTGGTCTTGGTTTTATGATAGACATGGAATGTAAAAATCACAAGTGTTCGGTTGCTGCTTCTGTTTCTTCATGCAAGAAAATTGGCGAGAAAAAAAATCTCTATGAAGTCAACAGAAGATCTGTTGTGGCAATGCGAGCAAATGGTCTTGGGTTGAAAGGATTGCAAACCTTTTGTGGAATAATGGATTTACAACATCCAGTAAATCAAAATTCCTATGATCTCATCAACTCAGCCTTTAAGACAGCATCTGAAAATATTGCAAACGAGTCCATGCAGCAAGCACTCCAAGAAGAAGTTAAACTCACTCCTGAAAAAGATGATGGATTGTCTGTGTCAGGAGATGGTACATGGCGCAAACCAGGGTTTACTTCATTACAAGGTGCTGCATCTCTAATTGGTTATAAATCTGGAAAAGTAATAGATATTGTTACAAAAAAAGCATACTGTCAATCATGTAAACACTGGGAACAAAAAGATAAGGATACTGCAGAGTACCAAGAGTGGTTTGACATCCATCAAGAAAGTTGTACGGTTAACCATACTGGAAGTGCTTGACAAATGGAAGTAGATAGCATCGTAGAAATGTTCAAGCGCTCACAAACCTTGCATGACGTCAAATATAGAAATTATATTGGTGATGGAGACTGTAAAGTTTACAAAAGAATTGATGAAGTCAAACCATATGGAAAAAATTATAAAGTATTCAAAAAAGAAGACATTAATCACGTAGGCAAAAGGATGGGCAAACACCTTCGAAATAAAAAGAAAGCTCTTGGAAAAACTCACCTCAGCGATGGCAAAACCATTGATGGTAGAAATAGATTAACAGCTAAAGCTATTGATCAGCTGTCAAATTATTACACCAAAGCACTAAGAGAAAACAATAATTTAAATGATATGAAGAAAGCTGTGTGGGCCACATGGTACCATAAAAGATCAACTGATCAAGAGCCAGAACATCACCTCTGCCCAGAAGGTACAAAATCTTGGTGCTCTTGGCAAAGTTCAAAAGCTAAAGGCACGTTAGCATCACACAAACACACTGCTTCTCTTCCACATGCAGTAATGGATTCCATTAAACCTATCTACGTAGAATTGTCAGATGATGCTCTTCTTTCCAGATGTATTGGTCATTATTCTCAAAATTCGAATGAGTCTCTAAATAATTTGATTTGGAAGTATGCACCAAAAAAATTATGGAGTGGTGCGATAGTCTTGGATATTGCTGCATCTATTGCTGTTGCCACCTATAATGGTGGAAAAATGGCACTCTATAATATCATGAAAGAGATGATGATTATTCCTGGTACAAATGCTGTGCAATTCTTCCACACAGAAAATGATAAAAGAATTTATCACTCAGACCTCAGAGATCAGTCAGCTTCAAAATCTGCTGGACAAGAAAGGCGTAAAAGAAGACATGAGCAGGTTGAAGATGACAGCTATATTCCAGGCGGTTATTAATTGTAATGTTTTTCACCTGTAAGAAATTTATATAATTAAAACAATAATATTTATATACGTAAAATAACAAAATATATGATTATTTTACCTGTGTTATAGGTAGAGATGTATTCTTCAATCTTGATTGTTCTCCTCGTTTACGTTCTCATTGTCTCTTACAGAAGTTGACAAATATGAATATCACCTTCTTCTTCTGTCCTCTTTCAATACCTGTAATTATAATAAAAGCAATCACAAAGCATCATATCGTTTGGGATAGAAATGTATAATAAATTTAAAATAGTTACTTATCTGATAAGATCCTTTTGTTTTTTCTCTTTTTTACCATTCGTTGACTAACAATTACATTTATCTATGTATAAACATTAATAGGACTAACATTACTAATTAATTTTGCAAAATCAAACAACAGATTTAGACAACAACATACGATGCAAAGAGTGACAGGTCTAAAAAAGAGGTTAGCGCAAACTAAATACGCAGCAGACGTACTGGCAGCACTGGCCGGCGCCCGGCAGTCCGCAGTCTGTGATTCACTGACACACTTTTTATTGCGATATCCCGTCGAAGATGTTCCAGCTCAGCGACGAAAAGTACAAGCCGATACGGATTGATGCCAGGGGCAAGTTGGGTCGGACGCCGCGGATCAAGAGGTGGCCGAGTTGCTGCTGAGAAGAGGCGCCGATCAGAACTCCACCGACATCGACGGATTGACGCCTCTGCTGCACTTTATTTGCAAGAAAAACAAATCAGCCGATAATAACGAGGTCGTGGACTTGGCGAAGATGCTATTCGAGATCTGCAATGTTATGCAGCGGACAGTGCGAGTCAATGCTCAAGATAAATTGGACAGCATAACCTTGCACTATGCTCTAAACTGGAGTAACAATGAGATGGTCGAATTACTGCTGAGAAGAGGCGTGGATCCGTGTTTGATAAAGTGAGACATATGTGCAAGAAAATTGGTGAAAAAATGCCTCCTTAACACAGTGAAATTTTTGAAAAAATTTGGCTTCATTAGTTTTGTTTTAAATCATTGTTATTTATAGAATTTAGTACTTAACACTAGTTGATAGTAATTATTAGTACATGTGATTTTGATGAAAAAAGTGTTTGATAGCTCAAGTCAACAATCTTGGAGGATTAATATTATCAGTGATGAGTGGAGTAAAGTTTTAATGAATAATTCTTGCTCATACTTTAACTGCATTTTCTGGACACTTATAATTTCATTAATTTTTGTGCGCTTATCGTAACTTTTAAGTTGAACCAATAACTTGTTTAAGACCCAGGTGGGCTCATTTTGTTTGTTGAAAGTATGGCTATGGTCGCTACCTCAGACAAAGTGATAGCACCAACTAAAGGTTTTGTGTGGCTATAATTGTGAGATTATTCAAGTAAAGTGAAACAAAATTAAATAAAAATATTGGTCTAATGCAAATATTATGGTTCTAACTTATTGGATATCTGTGCCAGAGGTAGCGACCATAGGCATACTTTCAACAAACAAAATGAGCCTATCTGAGTCTTGAATAAGTTATCGGTTCAACTTAAAAGTTACGATAGGTAGCCATACAATGTAATTTGTAATTTTCTTGGTCAAGGGGACATTCTGTAAATTTAGAGTCACTTTTCTACTATCTGGGGGTGAAAATTTTTTTTTTTAAAGGGTCAGTAAAAAGCTTTAAAATTGACTAATCTGAATTTTTATTTTAGGTATAATTTTTTTTAATATGAAAAAAAAAGGATTTTAAGGTGTATGTGTCCCCTTAAATGAATAGAGCTGGCTCAGAATTATTGAATTTTAAGCTTAAAAATGCATCGTACAAAAATAGCTGTATCTCAGCGAATCTTGCTAATTTTTAACTTCTGAAACCGGCGTTGGAAAGGTGAGAAAAGAACCTATCAGATAGTTTCATGCAATTTTTTCCATAGTTGATTCTACTTAGCCATTTCCTGGAAGAAACTAATACACTTTTCGATTTTTCAATTTTTCGTAATGTCGTTTTTTGGGATAAAGATGTATTTTTCTGCATTAAAATAATTTCAAAGTGTATACTTATTTATACCATTGGATTCGTCATAAAAAATTCTAAACTTAAGCAGTGTCAAAAAATTTTCTAAATTTTTTCTGTTCATTTTTAAACGTTTACAAGACGATTTTTTGTTTTTTACGCAGAATAAAGATATCGAAAAAGTGCATTTTTTTCAATGAAATCGTTTTCCTAGGTCAAAACTGACTACGGAATTCGTTTCTACACACAAAAATACGTAAGAAAACGTCTTGTCGACATAAATTTTACCTCCTGAGCAATGTTAGCAATCTATTATATGATTGCCTCTTTCAGAGCGATTTTGCTAAATTTCCGAAGCACGTTTTTAAACTTCGAAAGCCTATCGACACCGGTTCCAGTCACTTTTTTGACTTCTGCAGCCCGGCTTTTTTCATCTGAAACCTTGAACTTTCAGCTCAGCCATGAGCCCAGGCGATACAAAAAATTTTTGCAAAAACGACCCGGTCTAATCTACACCTTGCGTGTGTCTTGTGCGAGATTCACGGTCATTTCCCCGAATTCATTTCCCCGAATGATAATTTCCCCGATGTCTTTTTCCCGGAGAGCACAACCTCCGAATTTTTTTTAATTTTATTTTATTGTTTTATATTACAATACATAATTAATCTAGAGAAATGTTTTCGCGTATCAAGTGCAAGTAATCGAGCACACGTTGTAAACCATACGTGTCGTAAGTTTCGACCATAGCTCTTAAACGATTGCATCATTTTGAATTCGGCATCTTCCACTGTTGACCATCGGCAGTAAACCAAGCATCGTTAGGTAGATCAGCATAAGTAATCGGTGGTCATCGCGGCAATGCAAGGAAAATAAATCTAAGTATTTCACTCGGAAATCAATAAAAATTAGCGCGTTGATCAATTATTTTCGTTAAAATGTAACATCGCATTACCCGCTTAGTTTTCCAGGCAGAATGTTTTTAAAACGTTTCTACTACGTTGTACACGTTCAGAAATGAAATTTAGGGGCGGACATTTAAATATTTCTGGAAGGTTCTACAAACGTTTTTTAAACATTTTTCTGAAACGTTCCAAGGCTTCAAATATAACGTTTTAATAACCTTACGAAAACGTATCGTGCTATAAGGGGTTATAATTGTTATTAATTTTTCAAACATATTTACTCAGTTTTGAAGTAACTAAGAGTGATTTAAGTGAAAATAAAGAAAATAGTGCAAATATAAATTAATGTCACTCATGCAGTGTTTTATTGTGGGATCCACTAATTATTTATTGTTTATTTATATAATTCCTCAACAGTTACGTTTTTGTATGATTCAAACATTCCAACAGTCTTATGTTTACACATATTTATGTGACATGTCAGTCGTAGAATCGACATAGTGATACATGCGTCCCTCGCTATTATACTGCTATGATGCTGAAGAGGTTGGCAATTGACCAATGAAATGTTGATTTTTACAAAAGAATTTGACGAGGAGAAAACTTGTGTTTTTTTATTTGTGTTCTTTCATTTCAATCCACGAGGAGAAAACTTGTGTTTTTTCAGTAAGTTGTTTCATCGTGTTCACGATTTGCCGTATTTTTAATGTACAAAAATAATGATCTAGCATTCGCTAGTCAATCAGTTTAGGCAATAAGGACAACACTTTTTTGTGTGTCATTCGACAAGAAATTTGTCGATCGTCAAATTTTATTTTGCAACGTTTCGTCTAGCATGATTCTAGACCTCTTCAGGCTATAACAAACAAGTTTAGACATTGTAACAGTTTACCCTCGGGAGGCAGGTAACTTGTCCGGCGAGATGTCCGTTGACCTGTAAACGGGGAACAAGCAAAGGTGTGCCAAAAATAATCCACGCGATCATGTAAGGTATAAATAATAATTAGGCTTATTTATTAAAAAGAGCACCAGTCACAATAGTGACGCCTAAGAATATAGAATACAAGAAAGGTAAGAATTACAAATGTGCGATAATTGTTCGCTCGGCACGAAACATTCACCCGCACAATTATAACAACGGCAAAAGGCCACCACGGCTATTTCGGCAGATACG